CCGAAGAAATCATTTATATAGTCAGAAATTAAATAGACTAAACATCTCTGACCCTTACCGTGTCCCTGGGATACTTTTTAAAAACGCCAGAAGCTGTCGGAGCGGACTTCTTACTGGACCTGGCCGGGGAACCCCTTGGGATTCCCCCGGAGGAGGAGGCTCCGGCGGCTGGGGAGAGGGAAGTCAGGGCCTCTCGACGCTACTGCCCTCGCAACCCGACTCTGGATAAGCGGATGAAAATGGATGGATGGATGGACAAATAACAGATTTACACGTGAGTAGTTTGAATAGAGTGCTGTGCTGTTTGATTGTATGAACTGAACGCCAAGAGAAATCACTAGTTTGATTTTATTTTTCCATGAATAAAATAAATATGTCAGGCAGGAGCGTCTCAGGATCTGTCTGAGATCTGTCTCGGTGAGACGGATAATAGCAATCCAAAGTGCTTTTTATGTGTGATCTGACACTTGATCAACCATTGCTTAAAAAGTAAATACAGCTTAGCCGGTTAATTGCTGTGATCATAAAACACGTAAACGGCAGCACGCAGAACTCACGAGGCAACGTTTTACGTGATGTTTACTTGTTGCTATGAGTAATAAGACAGAAAAAGCCACGCCAAAATAAGTTTAGGAAGCCCACTAAGAATCGTAATAAAAGCATTTAAAATAAATACCATATACAGTTGAGGAAACGCTGGTTTAAATACCTGATATGAAGCGGTCGCTGCATAAGTGAAATCCTTTACTCTCGGGGTCCCACAGTTTCATTTAAGCCCGGTCACTAGCGCGTTTTATTACAATGATCCAACGTTTGTGGCGCTCCGGATCTTGGGGAATCCTGTAGAAGGATCTTCCCTTGACTTGTCCCCATCTGTTCTGGCATCCTGGGGCACAACAGGAATCGACCATATTTCCTGTGTGAGATTTATGACAACAAATAGTCTAGCTGCGGGCTTCTGCCTGCCAAAATGGTGCCGTTTCGATTTGAACATGCTGGGAGAAGTGACGTCAACTCCCGGAGCTCTATATGGATGTTTTTTTAACTGCAGTTGCAGCATTGCACCACTAAGGGCATTGTATCAGCAGCGGTGCACCGAAAATCGCTAAAACCGCTGCAGAAGAAGAAGATCAAAAACTGCTTTTCTCGCTAGTTGGTACAAGTTTATGGTTGGTGCTACTGACGTCCTGATTTCCCCCCAGGCTCTTCCATATCAGAGCAGGGCTGTACAGTGTGACGAAAAAACATGTCTGTGCGTGTCCGTCTATTTTTAAACATGGCATGCAACATCTTTGAATTACTATTTTCCCTGGAACTTTATTGAACAAAAGCAAGTTATGTGTAAGAAAAATGCTTTTTACTGGAGCACAGTGTGGTCATCTGGATGCAGTGGAGGAAAATAAAGGAACCAGCAAAGGCACAAAGGCAGAACCGGTCCAAAGTTTGGGATCAAAATTGCAGCTATACGCAGATCAGCTAATGCTAAAGCTAACGGGTAGCAGTCTCACGATCAAGTGGCGCACAGAAAAATGTATGATGATGATCAAACTATGAAAGACTAAGCTCTACAAGCGGATGAAAAATCCCCACCATCCTGTTTATTCTGCATCCTGCAGTGCTACGGATCAGAACCGCTGCAGATACCAGTTACATTACTGCTCCAAGTCTGCTCCACACACAGGAGCAGGAAGTACGGCAAGCCGTTGTAGTATATAATTCACAAACGCTTCTATCTTTGAACATAATTTAAACTGGATTATTGCCAACCCGTACATAATAGACATGCCACCGTTACATTGTTAGCAAAATAAATTAAATGTTATTACCATTTACAATACAAATGCATGTTAATGAAATGCATTATATTTTACTGGACAGATTTATGTGTTATTTTGACTAAGATGAGTGTTATTAATACAAACTTAAAATGTAACTGAAATGTAGGTCAGATATTTAAAAATATTTTTAACTATAATTATCAGATGGGAAAAAGGGAACTAAACACCAATCTAATGCATATTATTGAGCCTTTTATAATAAGAGTCTGTTATGTCCGCCTGATAATTTTGTTTTATTTCATATTTTTTAGCAGCAAACCAGTTTTGTTTCACTTGAAACGTTGTCAAATTGAATACTCAATTAATCAACAGATGCTTAGATTAAAACACTTAATTAAAAAAATATTTTGCCTTTAAAGGGGCATTATGTAAGCCAAAACATGTATAGAAATAATAAATTTCTTCTTCATACATTGTCCTGCAATGCCCTGGTCCTGTAGAATGAGCCCTGGCATTTTTACTGTGATTGCCTGTTTTTCTGTAAAATCACAGAAAAAGAGAGCTGCTCGGGTCGAGTTGGCTGCTTCATGCGCGTTCACGCTCAGGCATAGCCCGCAGCCTAGTGATGAACCTAGCTACATTTCTGAGGACCCTTAGCTACTTTCTTCTAGATATTTCCTCTAAATTAGAAACAAAATAGCCATTTTCGCTCCGAACCATTCTTTGAATGTTGTTTCAGCTGTCATCAAGGATTAAAATGTTACAGATACAAAAGACAACACTGGCACTTTAGCTCACCTAGTAAGACGTTGGACTCTCGTGCAGAAGACCCAGGTTCAATTCTAGATGTGAACATAGTTTATTTAGAGTTTATTTTTTACATTAATGGTATATTTTTTTACAGTAAGATGCCCAAATTTTTATTTGAGACTCACTGAACGGCATTGAATTCACAGATAAAAAAGATGTGGGTTCAACTTTCGTTTTGGAACAATTTTTCAAGCAATGGAAGGGCATGATCTGAGCATGCAGGGAGACTGACCCATCTTAAACCTTTGTCGGCTGTGCTGAAGAGAAAGGTACAGAACCAAATTATTTAATGAATTAGCTGCGCATTCTCCTGTCCTCTGTCCTCCGGGCCACACACACGCACGCACGGGACTGTCTCAGCTGTTATTTTCGTTGAGGAGTGTGCACGTACAGCCTGCGCGCCTCGTGCACGAGCCTACTATTGAAGCTGCCGTTACGCTTTTGGCCTGAGGGGGCAATCACAAGCATAAAAATTCAAAACTCCGTAAAGTCCCTTTAAAAAAGTGAGGCAGAGTAGGCATGTGCTGGCGTATGGTCATGTTGGTACCACCTCTGCCTCAATTTGAGCCAGGAAAAACCCTGGCCAGTATTGACAAATATTATCTCTAGTAAATGTGGTTTTAAATACTTAGACACCTTTTAAAAATACCCCCCCCCCCCCCACACACACACACACACACACACACACCTTTTGTTTTGCATAGACCTATTTAAAAATATGAATTGCCTTTGGACATATTCAAGGCTTTTGAGCCAGCTTCCATACACACAAATTGCCAAACCCTGATCTGCATCAAACCAGGCAGTTTGACAGGAAGTAAATTATCACAGATAAACATTTTTGTTAGGTTGTTGTGGTAATCAAGCTTACTGAAGGCAAAAGTGAAAGCCCACAGTAATTTTCCACATAGCATCAGTAAGGAATCTGCCGGCTAACCGTACACGCTAATGAGGATCATTCCTCGGGAAGAGAAATATGCTTAATATGCTTCTGCTCCAAACAGCAAAGCTCTAATTCCACTAACTCAAATCTAGAGATCTGACTGAAGAGATTTCAGGTAGCTACAGATTATCTAGATGTTGATGTGTTTCAATTAAAGAGATACAAGTCTATTTTTTTCCCAGAGTCTACTGGAGTAATTCACCCTGACACTTCAGTAGGAAATAATCAAGCCTTTAATCTGGCGAGACATCCATTTTTGTTGATTCAAAGGGACGAGAGATGGTTACTGATAAGTCCCACAGCTGATGGTAACAGGGAAGTGAATATGCTAACACAATGGGCTCCATTGTATTTTGTGGCTCTGTGTGTGTGTGTGTGTGTGTGTGTGTGTGTGTGTGTGTGTGTGTGTGTGTGTGTGTGTGTGTGTGTGTGTGTGTGTGTGTGCCCTCTGACCCTTCAGGGTATAATTAAGGACACATTTTACCGAGGTTGGTTTTGGGAATGACTTCTGGCTGGGGTCTGTGTGTGTGCATGTGTGCATGTGTGCATGTGTGCGTGTGTGTGTGTTTACGCATATGCCTGTGTGTGTGTGGGTGGGGGTGCATGGACCCCAACATGCCCTATCCCATACCTTGTACATGTCGACCTAACTTGCCCTCAGTATGTCTAGAAGTAGTGCTTCTGGGCTGATTGGCCATATCAGTTTCACTCACCAGCTCACCCACATAAATACACACAGAAGCACACACCTTTTGAGACCAAGCCCTTGTAAAGGCACCTCCTTAGGGACATGCTGTGAAATGTACTCCTTGTTAGAATGTATGTGTGTGCGTGCGTGTGCGTGTGTCTGCTTTTCTTCAGCTGTTTCCTGTCAGCTCAGAGACCAACCGACTGAAAGTCTCTCGTCTTTCTAAGGTTTCACTGACTTTTCTCTTGGAAATGACCAGAGAAAATGATGATGATGGTGTCTGATATTATAAGGGCAGTAAATTAAGGCTTGACTTTATTTCTGCATCTATGTGCATGAACATCTGGGACATATGCTCGAGTTTCTATTTTGGGGTAAACTGGACCACAGCATTTTCATTCCTATCCATCAGGTAGTGATAAAGGTTGAGTTTGTTTAAAAAAAAACATTAAAATTTTTTAAATGTAGTTCAGTTTAACTCTGATCAAAGACGTTTGAGCAGAGAAACCTCTTGTGTTGAGAAACAATGGTGTTCCCTTTGCTTTGGTCAAACCTCAAAAAATGACAAGCTCATGCACCATGTCAATACCTGTGCAAACTGCTGGCAGTCAAGGTGTGTGTCAACATGTGTAAAACTGACCGAAGTATAAACATTTTCTGTGTTTGGTGACTTGCTGTTGTGGCCATCTTTATATGGATTAACTCCAAAGGTTAGTCAGTTGTAGACCCACTAAAAGGTTTTCATCACATTGGATATTTTGCAATAATCTGAAGCACCAACCTGCACCAAAGGCAAAGAAGAAGCTCTTTTCTGGGTGTTCCTCGAGCAGAGCCCAGACCCTCTTGCCCATCCTCTCATTCCTTTTGTAAATGAGCTCTTGTCGGAAGTAGCTGTCTATTTCCTGGGCAGTCTCCTGCTCGCTGGGTGGCAGTGTCACATTATTGAAGTTGGGGACCTTAATGCAGAGGTAGAGATTTGATCAGACCATCAGGATGGGGAAAAGTGCATTTAGATTTCGGTTAACAAATGAATCCAAAATTCTTATGGAATACGTTTTGAATGACTGATCACTCAAAAACTCAGCAGAGTGAAAACAAAAGCAGAAATGTTGGATCTAATGGGATTTCAGGCAACCTAGCAAAAGAGAGTTATGGGTGTGGGAGAGGCAAACAATTGTCAAAAGGTCAAGGGTGAAAGCAAAAGGTTAAGGGACATGTCAATTGGACAAACAAAAGGTGAAAGGGTCAAAAAGACTCAGCTTATTAAGAAGTGTGAATGTAAAGATGTGGGTACTGATAGAATGGGATGGGACAAGGCAGGATAGGGTCAGGGTTAGTATAGAATAGGGACTGACTCACCTGTGACGTATCGTGATTAAAGATGATGGAGTTGAGATCCCCACAGTTGTAGTGCCTGATGAGGTCCTCGGTCGTGTACGGGACCTGCAGGCTCCCTGCTCTCATAGACTCCTGCTGCAACAATGTCTGGTTCAGGGCAAAGATCACCTAGAATGAAATCAGCAGTTGGTCAGTACTTTGTTGTAAAGTGTTTCACCAAATCATCATCAAATGTGATCTGAATAATCTGGTTGGATTAGTCATGTCTGCACATGTGTGCAGTTCAATGGTTTAGTGTTTGTTTGTGGATGAGATGAATATTTTAAACTGCAGTAATAAGTAATGCTGACATTTCTGTTGCTAGGCAATGTTTCCACATACTTGCTTACTGCAGGGGTTCTCCTGAAAGTGCAATGATGAAAAATGTTCTGCTTAAACAGCAACAACTGTGAATATTGAAATGTGGGGGAAAAAAAGGCTCCCAATGTGATTTGAATATTTTTCCACACTTTTTCTGCATTTTGACTTCATTGCAGGATGTCCTCTGCAGACTCCTGCAACTGGAAATATGAAGGTAGGTTTTCCTGAGAGAATGAACATTTGGACCAATTCACCTGGTGTGAGCCAATGGTGAAACATAAGGCCTCTGCCTGAGGGAATGGTAATGGAATAATTGAATTGGGTGTACTGGACTGACAGGTAAGATCGTAGCCCTAGATATAGACTTCACTGATTCATAGTATCTCTGTAGTCGTTGTATGTCTAGAGGTTTCAACAGAAAGTTCCCAAACATTTAACTGTTTCAGAACCAACCTATTTGGAAGAGGTAAAGCCACAGTTTTAGACTGTTGGGCTTTTTTCATGTTTAAAGAAAAAGGCCAAGAAAAAAGTGGCTAAATAAATTGTCTGCTAACTGATTTAAAGGTTAATCTTTCATCCAAAGTAAGCTGAATAGATGTTAAATGTTTTAAAGCTGAATAGATGTTAAATGTTTTAAATAATGACGATACCAAAACTATTATTTTCCTGCTGAGACCCTCTTTGTTTTATTCCATAAGTTTGTAGCCTGAACAGCCATGCCAATGGTTCCTTATGGGAAGCAAAGGGCCATTCAAATAACCCCACCCCCTGAGAATTCTAATGGACCGTTCCCATCTGTACCTGGTCGGCCCTGCCCGGATAGCTCCAGTCGGCCCCAGCCTGGCCCGGTTGATTCCACACATCCTTGCTTAGGTATGCAAGGAATACAGTCAGAGACACTTTCAGCTTCTAGGTAATCAGCATGATAATGAATGATAATGAATTGAGCATGCTTTAAACCCATGTGGGCTGATTCGACCCGCCAATCAGAGGCTTGCTGTAATGGAAGGTGTGGATTTGCTGTCAGCAGTGGGTGTCAGCCTGAAGCAGACCACCTCAGAAAGAGGGCTGAAAAACAGTCTTGTTGCACCCTGAAAAAAGGCAGGCCACCAAGATATGTAAGCAAGCTATGCTATCCGGGCCGGGCCGACCAGGTACCGATGGGAATGGCCCATAACTGAGCCAATCAGCGCTGAGTAGCGTACGTCACACACCGCTACGCCCAGTTTCTCATAAACAACAAAGATGGCGTCTGAAGCAGAGCTCGCTGCAGCTCTGTTCTAAATGACTTGAACATGTCTTTAAAACCACAACAAGAAGAAGCGCTAAAAGCCTTTCTTTTAAAGTGCGATGTTTGCGCGATTGCCAGATGCCTTTTTTGACTATAGCAAAAGAAAAAAAAAACTTTTGCGTTGTGCGGTACAGTTGTCATTTCAGCCTTTTTTCTGATTGGTTATTTTTGAGCTGGCCGCTCATGGTGCTCTCTTTCTATCCAGACTCCTCTTCTGTGTAGAATAGACAGAGGGCGAGTATGGCTGGTCATTCTAATAAGTTTAGTTTCTGTGAGAGAAAAAACTTCCAAAACACCCACCTAAAGTTGTACAGTCCACACACACAAACTGGAACAACCTTTCTCTCTTTCTCTTTCTTATTTGATCGTAATTTCCATTGAAGAGGAACATTTTCCTGTGTTCCTTATTTCTCAAAGGGAGCAACCAGTCAAAGGAAGATATGTTGTGTCAGCTGTGGAACAATGCAATTACTGTCTGTAAAATTGAACCATGTTTTAACAATTCTGTGTACATCTGTGTACAATATGTATTCATCTGCATGTGTATGGAGTCAAACAAACTCGGTTTTGTTACACAAACTGGCATGCCAATCAAGGAAAGCGACTGTTTTTCTTTTAAGTTCTGTTTTCTAAGGTGCAGTGATGACAATTCATCCTCTCGGCCGTCCATTTGTGGGATCCTCGGTGTAGCAAAGAAGAGGAGGGCAGCAAAGAGCAGATGCCTTCTTGTCACAGGACAAAGAAGCCCTCCGTCACCCTCTCCTCTACGCTCCCTCCAGCTTTCATGAGCCGCCCATCAAAGTGGCGCTCTGCATATGAAAAGGGCCCTGTCTTTATGCCACACAAATTAGCCTATCACCGCCCCTCCCTGGCTCATTTCACAAAAACACCCTCACATCTGTGCCACGTTCGTGAAGGAAGGCCCTCATCTGCAGGGTCTCCCCTTTTTCTACTCGCCATGCCTTTCAGCCCCTTAAATTATGATCATGAAGGGAGGAGGAGAAAGACGAGGAGGTGGGGGCAATGCAAGGGATCTGTAGTCTCTCTCTCTCTCTCTCTCTCTCTCTCTCTCTCTCTCTCTCTCTCTCTCTCTCTCTCCATATATATATATATATATATATGTGTGTGTGTGTGTGTGTGTGTGTGTGTATAGATGATAGATAGATAGATAGATAGATAGATAGATAGATAGATAGATAGATAGATAGATAGATAGATAGATAGATAGATAGATAGATAGACAGATAGATAGATAGATAGATAGATAGATAGATAGATAGATAGATAGATAGATAGATAGATAGATAGACAGATAGATATGCATGCATTTGAAAAATAAATATGTACAGGTTTAGCATAAAATAACTTAATTAGGAGGAATCTACTATTATCTATTTTTTGTGAGCATCTTTTTCTGTTGTGCACCAAGGGTCAGTGGGTGCATTTTCCCACTCGGCTTCTTTCATCGGGTCCCCGTTTCTTCCTCTCTTGCACTGCCGTTTCTTAACCCGCCCCCTCCGGCACACACACACAGGCGCATGGACACACCCCTAGTTGATATCAAAGCAAGCGGAGCCAATGAAAGTCAATAATTGTCCTTTGTCATGGAAATGTCCCCTCTTGTTGAAATGGAGTGGGGTGGGTGTGCACGTCTAGAGCAAACATCATCACAGTTAGATTCCCACATGTGGTGATTTGAAGTGTTCAGCGGCTCAGTTGAAAGCTCTCTCTATCTCTCGCCAGAGTGTGTTGGGTTAGTGTTGCTCAAAAAGATGGCTGAGCAACCTTTGTAGAATATCTTTAAGGAGCACACTGCATTAATTACAGTTGCTAAAATCAGTATTTAGGCCGAGGGCTGCAACTGCAAAAAGAAATGGCACATTTCATTTAGTGGATGTGGAGAAAGATCCAGACTTTTAAGGATTTAGGAAAGCATTTTCATCAATGCAGCCATTGCTGCAAAAACAAACATGAATGAGCCAATTAGAAGATGCCCAGAAGGAGTAATTGTGTAGTTCAACTGTGTAGCAGACTTTCTGAACAAGTCATTGAAAAAGATTTACTGAACAGGTAATCAAAGAAAAAGAATCAAACATATATGTGTTATAGTAAACAAGTTCCCCTAGGGTTTCATTTTCAGAGGGAAATCACTGATCATTGCCCATTCACGTTTCGTCTTTGTTGCAGAGTTTATATCTTCATGTCCTTCTACCAGCAGGTGCATTCCTACGGCGTTGTCAGATTCTGTAACTTCAGAGTGACCTGTTGATCTGTAATTTTGCAAGAGGTCTTCTAAACATGGACAGGATCATTAATTTGACACGGTATGAATGTAGAAAGTTGACTCATAAATAAATACCTTCTCATAGTATTGTAATAGGATGTCTGAAGTCTAATATAAGTAAAAACACAAGATCTGACTTAACTGATCCTAACAATGAAGATTGTGCTTACAGGTGTCCAATCTTGATCCTTGAGGTCCACCATATTGCCTTTTTAATAATTTCTCTGCCGCAACACATCTGAATATTTAAATTTCCTCTACAGCGCATCCTCAAGCTTCAAGGAACCCTAATAATCTATTGATTCAAATTTGTGGTGATAAAAGCAGGACTACTGTCACCGCCCTATGTTTCAGCTGTTCCCCTGCTCTAACACACCTGATTCAGTGATTGAATCATCTCTACAGCATGTCCTCAAATTCTTCATGACTTTTACTCAACCTTTGACTCAACAGGTGTGTTGGTGCAGCGACACACAGAAATGCAGATCGTAGCTCTCAAACATAACAAGCATATTGTATAAGCATCTATTAAAGCATATTGACGTACCAACTGAAAAAAGCAGGTTAGGTTTCCAAAATAAGCAGCTCTGTTGACAAACCCATTAAAATCAGGGTCACGTGATGCTGATGATCTCAAACGAACCAGCAGTCATTCATCCATTGATCATAATTTACAGTCATAACTATTTCATGCTACTTAATCATCACCCTATTGACAGCATGATAAGTTGGCTGATCAGTGAGTGGCTGATTTAAATGAGTACAAAATTCAAATCAGAAACACATTTTGTCTGTTAATACACAACTTTTGTATTCAAGCTACATTAGTGGCTGCACATGCTGTAATGTGAACAACATGTAAACACATGGGTAGCCTTCGGCGAGCTCAGGATTCTCTCATTTTAAGCTCTGGCACTGAATTAAAATCGTTTTGGTAACTTAAGTTCCAATTCAGTTTTAATGACATTCTAAAGAGGAGCATGTGTTTTTCTGCATGCAACAATCCTCCTGCGTGGGTGTTTTCCTTTGTCTCATGACTGATAGTATGTCCACATGTAAGAAGAAAACCATGTGTTGTAGCAAGTGCTTCAAAGGTTGGCCATTCACACGTGCGCGCGCGCGCACACACACACACACACACACACACACACAATAGTTAGGGAAAGAAGAGGAGAGCAATGATGTTTATAGAAATATGTCAGACCAAAAGTCAAACCGATGAGGCAGAAAACA